TCCTGAGTGAAAGGCTGTGGGATAGTTGTACACTGTGTGAGAATGAATTGCTGTGGTTGGTATTAACAAAAAAAAAAAAAAAAAAAAGGATGAATGGCCAATTGCTACACAGTGTTACGTAGATCTTTTGGGGACAGAGGGGATTCTGGGAAGAAGGAGGAGGATGGAGTCATCAGCCAGATGGAGAGGAAACAGGAGGTGTAAGATGAAAGAGAGGAACATGACAGAATGCAGATTAACATAAATGGGTTAATTTAAGTTATATGAGCTAGTTGAGAAAATCCTAAGCTAAAACCCATGCTTTCATAATCAATACAAAGTCTCTGTGTCATTATTTGGGGCTGTTGGCAGGAAAGGAACTCCATCCACATATGCAGCCCAATGTGGGGCTCAAATATCCAAATATAGGGCCCAAGAAAGCTAAGAAAAGTTCTGACAAGGGGCCAAACATGGCTTCCTAGCCCTGTAGTCTCTCAGGTCGGCTGTTATTCAGCATACGGAGATTTACCTATTAGCCACTGCCTGTGGGCTTGAGCCAGCCAGCACCATGCTCAAGCACCATGTGCTAAGCTGAGGCTTAGGACAACTGATGAGGCCATTTAAGATTTATCTCATGTGGTCAGAGACTGCTGCAGGTACTTAGTACAGTAAGGTCCAGACATAGAAAACCTCTAAAAGGCATAGTATGTTAGCCAGGCATTAGTGGCACATGCCTTTAATCCCAGCACTCAGAAGGCAAAGTATATCTGTGAGTTTGAGGTCAGGCTGGTCCACAGAGCTAGTTCCAGGACAGGATCCAAAACAATACAGAGAAATCCTGTCTCAAGAAACCAAAAAGAAAAGAAAAAAAACAATAAAAAATGCATTTAGAAGCTAAAGAAAGAGAAGAAAATGGGTATAGATACTCAAAGAAATCTTGGTTACAGACATGAAAATGAAACAAAAAGACTATAGGACAGGTAATATAGATGCTGATCCCTCAACATGGGGACAGCTCTGAGACTGAATGAAATAATAAATCTTTTTGGCCACTGAAACATGACTTATTACTTATTATTATATGCATATGGCATGGATAGAGGTTTGGCTATACAGTCCAAACAAACTGGTTGGGATAATGTTCTTGTTCATTGTAAAGATTTGTCACTTATAATGGTTTAATAAAATGCTGATTGGCCAGTAGGCAGGTAGGAAATAATATGCCTGAGCAATAGGACAAACAGTTTACAATTAATATAAGTCTCAGTATGTTTATTTGGGACTGAACAAATGCAGAAACAGAGATTGGAAAGAAAGTTCTGCCTACCTGTGGTGCCTAAGGTGGGGCATGAACCTATGACCCTAAGATTAAGAGTTTAACAAATGACTTTTACCTGTTCAAACACAGAAAATAAACAAATAAAAAAATCTTTAACTGACTTGTGTGCACTGCACATTCCATACTTGTGTTAATGCAGACACATATTTTACCTTTAAAAGTTTGTGTGTTTTCAGGGGGGGAAAAAAAGGACCAGACACCAATGAAAACAAATAGCCTCTCAGAATGCCTCTGTTGCAGTTTCTTCAAAATTCTGAATCCAGAACTTCAAAGCTGCTAGCTGAAATGGTCCAGCCTCACAGTCTACTCTAGATAGGACTGCAGATTAGCCCTGTACTTTCCCATTACACAGACACTGAACAAAAATGTTGCAACTAATTTCCCCAGGATTTGGACATCATCCCAATTTCCACAAGGTCACCTAAAGATGCTGTCACTCCCATTCTTTAGAGAACATTGTTAGACATATAGAAAAACTGTTTCATTTTTAAATATCTCCTTTTAAATATCTCTGAGAATATTAACATGATGTATTTTGATCATATGTCTCATTCTACCTCTGCACACAACCACCCTCTTCACCCATACCTTTCTACCTACCTAACTTCTTTTTCTCTACATTGAGTCCAGTGTGTCTTGCCCAGCTAGTATTAGTAGTGGGGCCTGCCCTGGAGTGTGGTAAGCCTACCAGGGCTCACATCATTAAAAAATACTCACACTCTCTCTGTGTCTCACCCAGCAGCTATCGCATACAATAACTTCCCAGCTAGTGCTTGGGTTTTGCACAGGTAAAATTTTCTTTCCTGATCAGCCACAACAAAGGAAGACTTCCTGGCTAATATGGGGCATAAACTACAAACAATTGTTTATTTCTCCAATGCCCCTGGTACTTTTGACAGTGACTGAATCTTCTGATATATATGGTAAAGGGATGCTGTTGTTTGGTTATCTTATTCCATATTATCAGGAGTGCTAACAATAATAATGATTATTATAATAGCAATAACACTTAATTTCCCACTGTATGTCTTTATTGCTGACCTCTTTTAGGTATTGACTTTATCCCTCACTATAATTGGAGTCCATTTCTTTGCCTACAGAAAGTTAACCTGTGCTGGGAACGGAGAGAGGTTCTACCATCTCAGATCTTGGGGTTCAGGGGCAGACTCTGCTACCAGCTTGATTTTGTTGCTCAAAATAAACACAAAGTTCTATTATAATTGTGGGTTTGTCCCCTGAAAGCAGGCACCCAGGAGGGAAAACCTGGGAGCCTAAGAGCTACAGGAAACATAGACTATTAAATTTAATTCTAAAGGCTAAAATTCATATAGTCTAAAGACATGTTTAGCTAATGGCAAGTCACTTTGCCTTAATTTTGATACTTAAAATTCGCTCATTAATAATATACAGGAGAAAACATGAGAGTGTTTAGTCAAAACCTTCAATATTACTGCTCTCTTCACCAATGTGCTGTGATACCATCAGCATTCCAAAATGATCTACTGAATACTTTGAATATTTTTTAAAAAGAAAACTTAATAGTTAATATTTTATAATAAAAAAGGGGGGGTTCACCTTACATTCTGGCATTTATGAAGACTTGTGTTGGAATTACATCCCCATTTGTTTAACTAGCCAAAGTGCTCTCTGCCTAATGCTCAGTGGCCTGAAAGAGCTATCATCCATGGTAATTTCAGCGGCCTCATGGGCATCAGACAACAGGATGGGTAACAATAAAGCAGGTTGCATACACTATTTTCATAGCTGACATCATTGTAAGCAAGGCCTTACAAACAACAAAGCATGGCTCTACTATCCTTAGTTGCTGGGGATCAAAATTCTACGACTGCAAAAAGAGGTTTTAAGAACAATCTGCTCAAATACATAAATACATTCTTGCTTAAGACATTTCCTAAGACAATAACAAGTGCAGACTAAAGAAAAGTTGCATCTAAATACTTAGAAGTAAAACTAATCCATTTTGGAAAATAAATTGATATCACAGAGTATGTTTCAATGATGGCAAAACCATGAATATCAAAGGCACATGTTAAATTTTGTCAAAGACACACATTAGTCTAATGACATGCATAGCAATGCTGTGATGAAATTCATCATACTGCATACTAATCTTAAATAAGTCACACCAAAAAAAAAACACCCCAAAAAGGCACAAATGTAACAGTGGAATATTTTCTCAATCCATAAATAAAAAGAAAGGAGCATGTTTTATTTAATGAGACCATTCACACATACACCTACATTAGTGAATGCTACAGACAGTCATTGAGGGTTGAGAAGATAGCTGGGTCAATAGAGCATTGCTGTGCACATATGAGAACCAGAGTTTAGATCCCCAGAACACAAGTAAAAACTAGGATGCAGTCTTATTTTAAGGGCAGCAGAGACAGAGGATCACTAGTGTAAGCTGCATAGACAGACTAGCTGAAATGGTAAGCTTGGGGATAAACAAGGAACCCTGCCTCAGAATCTAAGGTGGACAGTAATTAAGAATATCATATGTCAACCTCAGGACTGAACACACACACACACACACACACACACACACACACAAGAAGGGGGCATTCACATGTACCTATGTGTAGACAAGTGGCCATGTACATGCAAACACACAGTACATACAAGCACATGTGTAAAAAACATGTTGAGTTTTGTGTCTCTATTAAATTGCTATTTTTTAGTAGGTCATAAAAACACATCTTTAATCTAGTCACTGTGACATTCCTTGGGGTGGAGATAAGTCATTTCATATAAGTACATAGCAGTCCTTCCTTCTATCATCTGTGGTAGAAGTAAACTTCTTAAAATGAAGTTCATACTTTCAATAATTGTTGACAAAGGATGTAATTCAATATTAAAATTCTTGTCAAGCTTAAGCTTCTGGAAACTTGGTCATAGGAATTTTCAGCTTATTAAATCTTAATGCACAACCAGAGAGACGGCTCCCAAGCTAAGAACACTTTCTGCTTTCCTAGAGAACCCAGGTTTGGATCCAGCACCCACATCAGGAAGCTCACACTGCCTTAATCCAGAGTAGATACCACTATCCCTTCACTTGGATCTGGGAAGTGACTGGTCAGACCTCACCATGCCTGGAAGCCTGTGCCTGCTACAGAGCCCACTGTGACACAAGCAAGGTCCATTCAGGCCTCCATCTGAAAGGCCAAGTTCACAAAGTGCCAGTGTCCCTAACTTACAACAGGAAGTGGAAGGAAGTCACAGGGCCTCGACATTGGTCACTAACTCAGTGATGCTCAGACCACCGAGCATTGCCTGTTGAAGAGTGGACTGTAGAGGTCAAGGGCAAAGAGAATATGTGAAGGGGCAGGAGCCCTAGGAGGCGGAGCAGGGCCCAAACTGTAGTTTATGAGTACAAAAGCTGAAACTGCAGGGCTATCAATCCATCAGCATTTTGGAATCCCAAATGAGCTACTACATGAATGCATCTGAGTAACATTATTTCAAAAGAAATAAATGATTCTGTGGAAAATGCGCATTGTGAGGAAACAATTGCTCCCATGTGTGCTTTGCCTCCTATTGCTTTATTCAAAGGGAGCTGATAGTTACTTCTACTTATTAAGTGGCTTGTTTTGCCTGAAGCTCACTTTGAAGAAAGACAATGATAATAAGGAAAGCGAATGAAAGGACTTGTGTTCTGTACCTGAGAAATCAGCTGCCAAGAGGTCTGCAGCCTTCAGAACCTTCACCTGTAGAATGCCAATGTCCTTCACATCCTTCAGTGAGTTCTGGAAGGCCTGAGGAGACAAAGGAGGTGGCACACAAATGAGAATGGCTTACTCATGCTCCTGGCTTGAAGTTTCCCCAGAAGTATGTTCCCTATTTATCTCCCCCTTCCTCATGAAATTCTTAGAAGAGTTGCAAAGCTGTCTTATGTCAGGCACCAGGCCCGTTAGGCATGTATCACAGCCAGATTAGAAGAAAATTGACTGAGAATTAATTAACTGCAGCCTCAAAATAAACAAATTAGAATCACTCCCAATCTGCTTTTAACATCGCCCCCTGGTGCTAGCATAGATAACCCACTGGGAAAATGGGTGGGTGGAATTACATTCATTCTCCCCTGCCTTTTCTCATTAATGCAACTTGTAAATCAACTCTAAAGGCAAATTTAAGCTGGTCTTGTTATTATAAACTTTATGGATGCCATAGGACTAACCCTTCATCCCCTCATAAATGCTTATTACAAAGGGAAAGAAATCAAGGATAGAACTAGAGGCAGTTTCCTGGTCTATGATTCAACCAGTTCCATTCATTAAGTGAACATTTGGGCTTCTAGTACCACCCTGTACTCTTCTTCTCTTTAGTCTTTAATTAACATAATCCATAGATTGAACACATTTACTCATGATTCTGAAGCTGACACAGCAGAATGTACATATCTTTACACAGCATCCTTGAAAACAAATGCATCAGAGATAAGCAGATACCTATTCTCATGCCTACAGAAGACATCTATTGAAAAAAATGTAGCTTCAAAATCTCCAAAATTGTTGCCATCTTCATTAAATACCTAAAAGGGATAAGCAGGTTCTGATGACTTAGGAGACAACAATAAAAGAGCAAAAATTTAATATTAAGTACATTTAGCCTAATCTAACATGTGGCAGTTCTAAGAACTTTTGAAAACGATGGTCTCTATGTATTTGTTCTCTAAACAAACCAACCAGCTAATTTTTGAGCTATATGGAAGCTTTAGAAATGGATATTTCTATAATGTAAAGACAGAAATATGTTCTAAAGACTACTACTCTGCCAGGATGGAGACCATGTACCTCTAATCCAATCCCAATGTTGAGACTGAGGCAGGAGGATTGGGCTCTGAGGCAAGACTGGGCTACACTGTAAGTTCTAGGCCAGCCTAAGCTATGTGTAAAAACCATGTGGTAGTGTATTCTTTCTCTCTCACACATGCTGGCTCACTGAAGAAGCTCGGGATGTCTACTTCCTTATTAGCCTCAAATTCTAAGAAATTATTTAAAGCAGTCATTATGATGTCACAAACATTCTTTCATAAATATGAAGCATGCTTCATCAATTTCACAGTCCACTTGACTTTCAATCCTCATAAATTTCACAGTTCACTGTCCACTTGAAGGAAGTATTCGTCTTCACATCCTGTTTACTTAAATAAAATCTTCAGAGAAGACATCAATAGTGAATTCTGCCCAGATATCTTCAGAATATAGCAAATTGGCAATGCAGACTCTGTGCTGACATGAAATGCAGGTCTAGAATTTTCCCTCATGAAGATTAAGAATTATTCAATTCAATACACCTGCCCAATGAAGACTTCTGGAGGCACTAAACTCTATCCTGAAAACCATGTGACCACAAGATTCATCTTGGTCCTGGTTTCCAGGCCTCTGCTTTCTTCCAAGGAAAGAAATAAAGAACATGTGTTGGTTTATCAAGAGAAGAAGACAAAATAGAAAAACATGATTGAAATAAAGACACCTTAAAGGCGTTCAAGAAACAAATGGACAGATAAATGCTGAGTACACCATTCCATACATGGCAGTACTTAGAGACAGTCATACACTGATGTCACCGTCAAGGTGATACAGAATAAAGTCCTTCACATCAACCTCATGCTTCATCCAGGCACAGTGCCCCATCCTAAACAAACAAACAAAAATCTCTATATATAAAACATGCTGAACATTAATAGTTGCTTAGAAAGTTTCCTCTAATGAAGTTCTTTCCTGTTCAAATATCCACTCACATCCACAGACAGGCTAAACTAGCATTCCTAGAGAATCCTGTAGCAGCTTGCAAACAGCTTTCTGTTTTGAAACAGCAAGGTGAACTCCCAGTCTCCCTTCACTGCCTTGCTAATGCATCAACCCCTGTTGTCTTATTTTATGAGACATGGAATTGAAGTTGCCACCAAGATCTCTGTTGGTTCTTTCTTAAATGCACAGTCATGGTATCACCTTCCAAGTGCAAGTTGGTGGGAGGAGCAAGCAAGGGAGGAAGGGACAATGTGACCAGGCAATGCACTCACATATCTCTGGGAAATCTGCTTTCGTTCGCTGGGATCCTCTAAGGGGCAGACACAGAGGTCAGAGATGGAGACTCCAATACAGGGAGTCACAGTGATCAACATGATGAGAGCCCCTAGGCAGCTCTCCAGAGGTAGCTCCAAGCAGTTGTCTTGCTTCAGCGGCAGTGCTGAGATATCCACTTTACACCTAGAACCATTTCAGGAGATGGAGAAAGCAGGGATTAATTCAAAGCAAAGTGAACCTCCAGAGCCCTGCTTCACAAAAATTTCACCGTCTGGACACAGGTTATTGATTGGGGAAGGTTGCCAGAGCCTCTTTAGTTCAGGGGACTCTCTTGGCCTAATGTTTCTAAATTAAAGATTCACTTTCATTAAAGACAATGAAAAAGAGAAAAGGGCAATAACAGAGTATGGCAAGGGGGTTAAAGTAAGATGCCAGGGCTTTGCCAAATAAGGACCATAAAAGGACAGTACAATCAAGAATGAGGGAGAAGGGTATTGTGAAGTGCACATCGTCCGGGTGAGCTTTTCCTATGACTTCCCCACCCTAAATAAAGGATCAAGAGGAGTCTGCACAGGGAAAAAGTCAGGACTACCGCGTGCAGGTGGAGGGGGGGGAGTGAGATGCAGAAATCATATTCTTCCCAACTGATTAAAGGCAACTGGGAAATTTCTAGTTTCAGAAATATGTTGAGGTGGTTTCCTAATAGGCAGGCTTCCCCAGGTGAGTTTCTAATGGGCAAATGGAGCACGAAGTGTTGATTGATCCCTTCTCTGCAGCATTGCCAGGAAGAGCTGTATCCATCTGCTATAAACTGCAGGGGTTTTGCCGCTTAAGAGCCAATGCTGAGGAGCTGCTGAAAACCTCAAACATTTAAACACAGACTCAAACTCTCCAAAGGGAGACACTTAGGTGCTGAGCTCTTTGTTGTTCGCTTCCACACTGAGCTCCAGCTTTGCCTGAACCACACTGCCTCTAAGTTTAAGGATGCAGGTGGGTGAAGAAGCCAGAAAGCACTGGGGGGGGCAGGCGGAGGCAGGCAATAGAAGCCCTGAGATTTAATTATTTTATACAATTCTCAGAGACTGTACAATTATAAAGATGATGAATATTCAAGACTTTTAGAAAGAACAGAAGCACTGCCTCTCTCAATGAGCTAAAGCAGACTTTATACTAACTTTTCAAGGGACTTTATCTGTTAGCAGAAAACTAGGAGTAGGTAAGCTTACAGTAAGGAAAGCAATGGCAATTTGGAACCATACAGATACACAGACAAAATTAACTGGAACAACTGTGGTCTCCCTTGCAATTAAAAAGGGGGAGTGGGGCAGAAGTAAAGTAAATTACCACTCTATTCCCATTTTTATTATAAGATCAAAATTCACATATTAACAAGGGACTCTAACATTAAGTATAAATAGGATTTTACTTGAAATTTATGTAAAGTAACCCCAATTATAGGAAGGGGTATTGATTATTTTGTGTATATATATATATATATATATATTATTTATATATATTGTTATGTATATATTTACAATGTATAATATATTATATGTGGTATATAAATTATAAACATATGATTTATATCATGTTAATTTATATTATATATTATATATAGTAAAGTCGCAAATATTTCTATTAGATGCAAATTATAATACAAATATGATTTTAGTTTCATACCTTTAATGAAAGTAATATTTTCTATAGCGATAAGAAGCCTTCATAAAATAAAATATTCCTCTGCTCTTAAAAACAGAGGTTACTTGATAGTTTTATTCTATAAGCAATTGTTTAAGTGGAGGACCCAAATGTACTTAATAGAGAAATATCAAGTGTTATGTAACAAATTTTAAAAACTACAAATTTCTATATTATTAATATTACAGGAGTATATATACCTAAGAGTATTATTTTCCATTACTTTAGTTTGGGAGGGGGACACATTTCCCTAAACTAATCAAACTGGAAACTTTTGTCTGTGTATTAATGAGGTTTAAAACTGCCATTGCTCCATGTGATGATCAGTTACCAATTCCTACTTATCTACTAAGATGTAAAATCTGAAGATGTGGAGGAAATTCTTTTTTGGCTTATTGTGAGAGGTGATGCTTCTATTCTTTATTAAGAAAGCAAATTTAAACTCTTCAAGATGTAGGCAACATGTTTAAAAATCAACTAAAGAAACCTTTATTACATAAAATCCAAGACCCTTTTTTGTGTGTGTTTAAACAACTTTATTAATACTTTGAAAACTTCATACATTGTATTTGGAACATTTTCATCCACACTACTGTAATGCATTTGTCTCAGAGAATATACAAAATAATTTTAGTTCATTTTTGTTTGTTTGTTTGCTTGCTTGCAGCTGCTCCTGTGTTTTTTTTCCACCACTAACTGTTGTCGGTAGCTACAGGATTAGCCTGTACCAGACACGATACAAGATCATCCTCTCTACCTGTTACGGGCAAGTCATGGAATTAGCCTGTCAGCCTGTTATGGGCAGCACTCAGGATATTCATTGTAATGTGAGGATCATTATCTTGACTAAAACTAGTCTACTCTCTCCTTATAACCCAAAAACAACAGTACAAAATGTAAACAAATGAGGTTGTTTTCTAACAAAGCTGCCTTTATGCAAAAGCAGGCTTTGACTCCTGGATTCTATTTGTCAATCTTGATGCACATAAATACTATCATTTGGACTCTGGTGAATTACGCCAATGGCAGTATTTTTAATTGCAAGATTTCTTGAAGGGAGTATCAACAGAACAATAAAGGGGTTGGGGGCATTAACATAAGACATTAAGAAAAAAAATTATCTTACTATACCCTATGAAGCTGAGCCCAAAATACCCAATGATCTGTTTGTTAATAAAAGAGATAGAGAAACACTACTTTAAAATTGCTCTGCTGTAAGAAACTCAACCACGCAGAGCTCTATTATAAAAAATCTGAATAATAAGCATCAAAGAAGTACAGCTATCACCAGAGTGACATGCTTTACTCCTTGTGCAAGGTTAGTGACCCTCTCTGAACAACCAGGATATTCAACCCATAGGACCTACGGGGAACCAGAAAACATACATTCTAGCTTCCCATTTTAGCAAAAAGAGCTGACAGGAATATGGGTACAATTCAAAGATTCATCTTGTGGAAATAAAGGCAGGACGGTAACTGATATGTGCACACCTTGGGAGAAGCTACTGTATTCATCGGTATAACATGGGACTCCATGGCATTCTCCAGCTTCATCCAAAGACATTATCATCAGCCTTTTCTCACCTCTCCAGATTCTACCAAACAACGGAGTTCATTTCTGTAAGCACCTGCATGTATTTGTACTGTCTTCCTATGTGTGTCTGCCATGGGAAATATGTGGAGGTCAGAAGGCAAATTCAGCAACTGATCCTACCTTGTTTCAGACAGGATCCCTTTGTTCTTTTTCTGTGAAATACACTAGACTGACTGGATCCCAAGGTCCCTAGGATTCTCCCATCTCCACGTCCACCTTCCTACAGCAGTGCTGGGATTTCAGTTGTTCACACTATGCATGGCTTATTGTGATTTTAAACTCTTCATGTTCACATGGACCACATGGTTCTCTGCACTAATCTCAGCTAAATTTACAAATCTCTACTTATATCACCCTGTTTCCAGAACTCTGCCCATGATTAGCCAGAAACCAAAGTCATATGCACGATTCTGGAATCCACAACCTTCACACCAATGATAGAGACACTGCTGTCTCCTTACAGGCGCCCAAAATTTAATGCATAATGGCAGGAGATTTGCCTCCATTATTTCATAATGAACCCTCACTGCTTTGAAGTCTGCCTAGCACACAAGAGGGCTGGCTCCATACTGATGAATAAAATGAATGCTCAAAGAAACAATTGCCAGTGGGGTAAGAAAAACTACCCCACAATATCAAATGATAAAAGCCTGTCCCTTTGGTTAATTATTTCATAGCCATCAGTCCTCCCAAGTATAGGGGGAAAAAACTGAAGTAAATGGATTTCCTGAGCTTGAGGTTGAGAACTCCACGTCTACTTACCTAAAGGAAACAGAGACTAAATTACTCTTATTATTTTTTTTTCTGCAACAGACATTTAGTAAAGCTTCTCTCTTTCTCTACAGGCTGTTAAAGTGCTGATTTAGCATTGTTTCTGACCTCCCGTTCTTGTCTTTCTCCATTAATCCCACAACATCTTAATGTTTTAATTCAACACATAATTTTACCATATTAGTCAGCCAAACCGGCCCAACTTTGACTTGCCATAGTAGCTTTTAACCTCTTCTTCATTACCATAATTCCATGTCTTATATTACATACTGGTCACCAGCTTTTAGCTTAAATGCAAGGGGCAGGAAAGAGTGCTACAGTTTGAAAAGCTGTAAATCTCAGCCGCTGAGGATGTGGGTGAACAGGAAGAGAACGGGGAATGTGTCAAGCCTGGCTGTAAAAGCAGATCAACGACTTGGGCTGCAATTTGTCCAGAGAAATATTCCAGCCTGGATTGTTCACTGCTTCAAAGCCACTAATAAACTGGTAGGATGTCAGAGCCACTTTAAGACGCCATCTGGGACCAAGGAATGACTGGGAGGCAGATCAAAACAGGAGTGTGCATTCTCAGTCTAAACCTTTGCAAACTAAGTTCAGATTATTTTACGAAAGAGAATCTCTACAATCACCCTGAAATGGGACATATTCATTAAGAAAATGATTTCTTTGAAAAAGCACAGAAATGGAATAATTGATATTCTGTTCTTTGTACTGTTTCATTTCATGAACAACAGAGGCTGGAGGATGGCCGAGCAGGTAAAGTGATTGCTGTTCAAGCAGGAGGACTCCACATCTTCAGCACAAACATAAAAGCTGGGCATAGTGTTCACAACTAACTCTGTGCTGGGGTCCCCATGGTGGGAGGATTCCTGGGGCTTGTTACTTGCTAGTTATATTGTAACACATGCCCACATAGCTGGGACTGATTTCTCTTGGGCTTATGTCTTCCTTTTCTTAAAAGTTCACTCCCCTGCATCAGATCTGATGATTTCTTTTTATGGTTGCTTTGCCAGTAAAAATAAATAAATAAATAAATAAATAAACAAATAAATAAATAAATAAATAAAGCCATGAGTTAGGCATTGTATTCTCAAGGGAGGTTGGCTCTTGCTGAAAGCAAGTCCATCTTTGGGGCTCCATCCACCCCACTTTGAGAGTTACTGAAAGTCAAATAGGACCTGTGGGTGGGTATGCTATGACAGAGGGGAAGTCAGGCTCTAGAAACATCAGAACATACACACAGGGAAGAAGCAATCTAAAGACCACCATTGTGCATGTGAGCCCAGTTCCTATAAGCAAAGGCTACCCTACCCCTGAGTCTTGAATGGTGCTGTTCATCCTCCAGTCAGTAAACATCATTGAACATGCTCACTGTATACACACACACACACATACACACATACACGGTCTATATTTTGAATTTTACTGGATATATTTAATTTACTTGAAATAAATAATTTTAGCTTTAAATTTTATAGAGATCTAGTAATGCTATATAGAAATTTTCCAATATTGTTATCACTAAATTAATGCTTACTGTAGACTATGTCAATGAATATTGCTACTGTTTCTGACCTGAATGTTGGCCATGAACTCCACTACACAGCAAAATAGTCAGACACACAATGGGTTCTTTATCAAAATCACATAAGTAATGATGTTTGTTTCCTATATCAAACTATCTATAATGGGAATCTTCACCAATGAGAACTTCCTTAAAGGGGTTTGAAAGTATTAAATGACTGTGTTCTCCAAAATAAAATGGAAGATGGCTCTCAGGAGACAGTGGTTATCTGTTTACACTACTAGAGACTCTTGGATTTTTGAATAGTTGAAATAAGTATAGCTAAGTCTTAGTGTGAGCAATGCAAAGGAAAATAAACTGTGGGGGACAAAAGAGTTGAAAATTTGGGCTGGTGGGATAGCTCAGTAGATAAGACATTTTTAAAGGCACTTGTTGTCTAAGCCTTATGATCTGAGTTTGAACCTGTGAGCTCATGGTAAAGGAGAGATTCAACTCTCAGAAGTTGTCCTCTGACAGCCACATGAATTATCTAGACATATGCAAGCCTGCACACAAACACTGCTATGCAATTTGTAAAAGTTGAAACTAAAAAAGAAAATCATGAGAACGGTCTTCAAGAAACTTGCCAGAAATAACTGCGTGCTAGCACAATGGTAACTTGCCAGAAATAACTGCATGCTAGCACAATGGTTTGTGCTTTTGCTTTTGTCTATGAGCTATGTGTAGCCCAGGCTGGCCTCAAACTCATGATCCTCCCTGCTTAGCCTCCTGAGTATTAAGATTGCAAAACCCAGGACACCTTGTCCTGCCATCATGTCTTCATTAAACCTGAGAAGGAGTATTCTAAGTGAGCAAGGGTTCTGTCCACCTATATTCACTGCAGTAGCATGCTGTCCAGAGCCAGGTCTCCCAAGAGGTACTTTTGTTATCTTTTGAATTGCCAGAGGGGAAAAAGGAAAAGGATGCCCAAAAAAAGAAACAAAACCCATTTCCAGTCCACAAAGAGGAAGGACAGAATGATGCAAAGACAGGTAGACATCTCAGTTACAACAGGAAATGGCTAAAACAATAAATGAATACCCAAATGACAAAACACAGGCCACACAGGACGTCTTTGGCTTTTTTTTTTTTTTTTTTTTTTTTTTTGTCTTTGTGAAAACACATAACCCTTGTTTGCAAAAGCATTTCCTATTATGTGACGGAAACATGACAATGCAATGATATGAGACAAGCAAGGCATTATTATTTGCGCCTACTAAAATTATATTGGGCCATTCATCACAGGAGGCCCAGTACCTACTGTGCAGATAACACTTTGGGACAGAGAGTTCCATGAGTTTCTTAACTTAGCCTTACTCTCAACTTTCTGATCCTACTGCCCTTAATACAGAAAGGGCTCTGGCATGTCAGAGAGCTGAGGACGTTGAAGCTACTGGGAAAGAGTCAAGATCAGACTAGTGACTGGACATGTAGTGACTCTCAAACATCAGCCCACTCCTGTTGGATCTGGGGCATGTGGCATGATCCAGCTTCCTAGGCTTTGCACCCAGTTAGCCCAATGGACTTGGGAAAGCCACAAGTGCTGCCTAGCAGACAGGCATCAGAGTATGTGTGAGAAGACCTGCAAGGCAAAGGCAATTGTGTTGGGCAGGTACAGAGTGGAAGGCAGAGATGAAGCTGCTGTAGCTTCTGGCTGGCTGTTCCCTTAGTGAGTACCTGGCCACACATAATAGAATGCAAACATCTTGTGCACAGGTATACAACTTTATAGGTAATTGGGGGAAGTTATTGGTGTATCTTGTTACATGTCAGGAAACACCATGTAAAGGACAGCCTTGTTGAGAAACAAGGGAAGAATTCTGAAGGTGCTAACTTCCTCTTGCAACTGCCTCAGGAGGGATTCCATAGAGACAGAAAGAAGGGATACCACTGCATTGCAGGGTCATACACCCTGCACCAAGAGCTGCACAGAGAAAGAGTACTGTCTGAGGGGCTGCTTAGCAGGTCCTGTGACAAGTCTCCCTCAGACCTACTTGCTATTCTCTCTTGCTCTCCCTCACTGTAAAACACATGGGTCAAAGCAGATAAGTTGTTTTAATCTTTAGTTTTGAACAATAAAGCCCTGTCCTTGGCTGGCATCCCAAACATCAAGGTGTATTGGCTATGTAGGAGAGGGGAAAGTGCCTCTCTCCTCCCTCATCGGCACATAGCCTTGAGCTGAGGATCCAGGTTGGAAGTTGACAACCAGTAGCTTCTGGCATCCCTTTAAACATTTGTGCTTTTCATTTAAGATATGTATACAAATTGTGCATCTTGGGGGCAAAACTAAAGAGAATTATTCGATATAAAGAGTAGGATCCTTACAGTCCCACACCCTGGCCAGGGAATTCACTGTCATCAAGCCCAAGGCCACATCACTGGATGACTGACTTGCTCTCCCTAACTTGCAGGACAATGCTGCCTGAGATCAGAGGTAAGGTAAACATCTGCCAGTATTTCCCTTGTGCCCATCATAAGCCAGGCATGGTGCTTGGGATTTTATTGTATTCCTAACTACAATCCTATGAAGAAACTATAATTCTCATGTTTTTAATCTGTTACCCATGGGTAACCACCTCGATTGAGTTGCTTATTTTACACCACCTCCATAGTAAACAACATAATACCTTTAGCTGCTTCAGATTCTAAGATAGTTTGTCACAAAACACATCAAGAACATTGAAACTTTTCTGTCCTGGGGAAGAACTAAATTACACAGTTCAGTGTAAAACTAAAATGAAATCCTGCAAATGTTTCCAGACATGTCTCAATGGTCTGAGACGCACATAGCTTCCTCTGGAGACTTCATGGTGCACACACTGCAGTGGACCCTTTGAATACACAGGGTGCACAACCATAGACTTAACCAACCTTCAATAAAATGTTTGCCTTAAATAGTATGCCCATAGTAACCACATGAAGTCATCAAGGAGTGTAACAGCTACTTACATGGCTTTACATTATATTAGGCATCATTTGTAATCTAGACATGAATCATGTAAGATGAGCAAGCATCCGTGGTGTGGTACCTCAGGTCAAATATGACACATGCCCCATGCCCTCTGACCTTCGAGTATGCTATTACTATCATGAGTTCCTGGAATGTGCTCCCTATAGATGAGAGGGAACAATTCTATTTTCTTATGTTTTAAAGCCTGATTTGAATACTAAATTGCATTTACCAACTAGAAAACCAACTAATACCCCTCCCACATTCAGTGGCTGCCCAGCTTTCTACTTCTCTTCATTAAGGTAGGAGATGGGTGTCCACTCCCAACCCAAACAGACAAGACATTCTTTCAGAGCTAACACTTTACAGTTAGGATCTCCCACCCCAGTAGTAGCAGAGTGACTCACGTGCCCAGTCGCTCCTCGTGTTTTTTGCTGTCCTTTCCCCACACTTCAATGTCCAAAATGCCCATCCTGTCAGAGAAGTAGTGAAAGTCAAACTGTTCCTGCCATTGCGGGTTTGCACTCTTACACAGTGTCTAGAAAACATGCAGTTACAGGGTTTACTTTCTCAGAAGATCGCTCACGGCTATAGCAGTAACACATTCATGTCATGTCTACAGGGTGGGAAGTCACCATGATGGGGTGGGTCCCCTAGCAAAGACACACTTAACTTCTGGAATAAAAGGGACCCTCTTGGACTCGGGATTTAGCAAAATATGACTAATCTTTTAACTGATTCCCAACTGCAGCAGTTTCTCTATCAAGTTAAAAAAAAAAAAACCACACAAACATACAGTGAATATATACAAAGAATCTGCAATGGCCCATTCCTACAGAAGATAGCATTTTTAACTGTTTAGTCAAATGCAAGCAATGTTTGTGTTGGTACATATATCAGACCTGGCATAAGCATCAGAAAAACTAACATTTTGTGGACACATTAAATGAGAACTCTATAACATGATAGCACAGATCTGTCCTCTTTTAAGTCCAAAGATACCAAATCATAATGCTTTGGCAAAGGGAAAACTAGACAATTCCACTTAACCATACTGGAAAATTAATCAGTTATAGAAAATCACACACATGGCCCTGTGTTCTCTAAGCATGAACAAATTGCCTATGGCATGGCTTTGCTGACAGGCTCTTCATTCTTTTCTTTCTTTCATGGAGATTTAAATTGTGAATAGTATTTTAAGCATTGGTGACAGGGCTCTAAATGCACTGATCAACTCTTAAGTCAAGACCAACTACTCCCATGCATAAGAAAGTATGGGCAGCTCACACCTCTGCTGTTATTGTGTCACATAAACACATTTGAGTTGGGTTTTATACCATTTTTTTTAATCATAATCAGTACACAGAATTTAGGTTCCAAGAAGAAAACATGTGTTCGAAATGAAAATCCAATGCAGTGTTTCCCACAGGGAACGTGCTAGACATTGGTCTAACTTTACACTTCACTTCTTACTGAATAGCTAATTGTCCTAGAGACAAATAAGCTTGCCATAAATCCAAAGCCTGACCATGAGTGGCTAAAGACTTCTCATTAGAGGGAAGTGACCATTCCAGTATATTTAATACCAGGCTCTGGCCAAAATGATCTGCTGTGATTATCTGTGTATTTCAGCTCTCATTCACACCCATTTTCCATTTCTTGTGCACACTTGTTTGTTGTGTGCCTGTCTCCCCACTCCTTTACTATGGAGTGAAGGATGCCGAAGGTTGGACTTTTGCACTGAAATTCAGACAGCACCCAGCTTCTTGCCTTCCTGTCTCCTTTCCCAAGTTGTTTACAATTTGGCTGTTTCCTGGATGCCAGGAAAAAAACTTTCAACCACTCTAGCCCCTTTAATTCATAAAATTTGCACAATATTCCTGGCAGTTAAAAAAAAACTTGTTTATAGATTAAAAAAATAATTCCCATGGTTAAAAACGATTGTTTCTTAATTCAATCCATACCAAATTACTAAGATTAATAACTATATGGCATTTAGATTGACAAGATCAGACAATTGGACTTAAAAAAAAGAAAACAGTTAAATACATGATTATTATTTTTTTAGTACTTTATGTGATTTAATTTTGGGGAGGGGAACCAATAACAACAAAACCAAAAACAAAACAAAACAAAACAAACAAACAACAAAAAAAAAAAAAAGGAAGGAAAAAAAAAAACCAGCAAAATCCAGAAATACCAGATATCTAGTTTTGGTGCTAAGACTAACAAGGGAACAGACATACAATTTTGAAAATACTATTACTCATCTACTCATCTACATTTTAATATTATCAAGTAATGAGTTGCTTTATTTTAGAGTAATGAAGAATACTCAGGTACCCTTTTCCTACAATCTTTGAAGTCCACATTGCTTTTTCTCTAACTGAAGACAGGTCATGCATCCAGAACTATGGTTTTAATAAGCTTTCTTTACATTTGAATACATGAAAGTAAATTCTTTACCTCTTGAGGTGGGGGGGAATCGAAAAACAAACAAACAAACAAACAAAAAAGACACTAAGCAATACCTATATCAGTTTAATAAATCTATACAATTATTCTGTTTTCTGGGATGCTACTTAACATGGCTAGGGAGAGGCTAAAAATAAGCTGGCTCCTTTTGAGAAATAAAATGTGAAGACATTTTTCATCTTTATCACTTGGAAAGATAATATCCTCCTTGTCTAATTAACATAACTTACCTTGCTTTTGTATCTCTGATCTCCCAGTTTTAACTGGACAAACATCTCTGACATGTTCCCTCCTGAGACATTCTTCCCTTCCAACAGAGTTATACTTATAATTCCATTCCAGAGTTGGTTCTTTCTCAGGGACTCTGAGAGCCGTAGGTTGCGGATCAAAGAGGACTAAAAGTAAATAAATAAATAAAACAGCATGTAAACATATTGCTTGCTCTTTGAAAGTGAGTCTGGCAGTCACAGGAATCCCAGCCCTCCCTGTTTCAGCCTGAAGTTGTTCCCGGCTTGGGGAAAATACTTAATATTGCTTGGTTTTTTGCAAATCCTTGGTCCCTGTTCTGTGACTTGCTTCCAATCTAGCAAAAGATAGGTGCAAACAACATGTGGATTTGGCTCTGATCTGTACTCGCACTCAGATGAGCTCTTTCATAGAAATCCTTGAACTTGGCCTTGGCTGTTTGACTTGTTGGAAGGGCAGAAGGCACTCTTTGAAGCAGAGCTCTAGGGGAAAAACACTTCTGGATATTTACCAATAATGATTGTGATTTTATCTATCATATTCAAATATATCCTTTCTCTCCCTCATTCTTCAGATTAGTATTTGAAAAGCCCCATGCCACTGTGAGAGGAGCCACAACTTCAAGTGTAGCTTACAATGACTTACCTGGCTAAATAAGTCGTAGGGGTGCGGAGGGCGGGAGGTGGCAGGATAGAAGGAGAGGGAGAAAAAAAAAAAAACACCGGGGCCCCCCGGGCCCAGATGGACTAAATAACCCTTAACTTATTTTTTTCTAAATGATTTTATTAATATACCTTAAAAACCATATAGAAAGAAGACAGGAATCTCTTCTTAAATGATAGAGATGGTGTATGAACTTTTTATAATACTGGTTATATAATTATTAAGCTATCCCCAAAGTAAAAAGAAAACTGGTAGAACTAATCTTCATACACTTCCTCACCACATTCAACATCCCACCCATCTAATGTTATCTCTCCCTTCATCAGTTTGTCTCACTAAAACATTTTAGAAAAAAAATGTCCACATTTTTTTAAATGAAACCAAAATGCCACAATTACACTCAACACAATGAACCATTGTACATTCAGCACTAATCAGCACCCCATGAGGCTTTCATTGCCCTGCCCTCTCAGGGGTCTCTCCCTACTTAGTTGCTTCAGTTGGGATTCCCTCTTGACCCACAGGCTGCATTTAGATGGCAGAGCTCATTTCCAAAATCTGCTTAACAAGAGAACCGAAACAAGTATATACTGTTTCTTTAGAGGACAAACCACCAGTCTGAAGACTGTCAGTGGAACCTAGCATCAGAACAAAGCAATGCACTGCTAACTCTGTGCAGGTATTCCCATCATCTGTTTACTATGTCTTTGTAGTCATTTAGATGCCAATTTGCTCAAACATGCATCATAATTTATCCCAACAAGTAGTACATTGGGCCCATTAATGTTACATGAGCCTACTTGATTCAACTATGTCACTCCACCATTCTCAAGAAATGTTTCCATGTCACAATAAGTATTTCACTGAACACTCTATGATAACCATAAATGAAATTATTTTTAAGGAAGATTTACTCCTGACTTTTATCCATGATGATCATGAGGATTTTCTACACTCACATGTACACACTATGCACACATGCACACATGAGAAAGAGAGAGAGACTAAAAATGCAAATGGGAAAATAATTAAATAGGAGAGAAACTATTCTCCTAGCACACAAAGATTATTTCTTAACCCCCAATTGTCACTTGGTCTTCTATATGATATATTCAATAATAAAAGATACAAAACAGTTTCAGTTGAGTGACTTTGTTAAAATCACATCACAAAAGCAGCACGTAACACAGACATACATCTGTGTGTATTGACATCTACATATGTGCGTACAAACACAGAATATACACTTACACATTTTATAGCTTATTGAGTGCACGGGCTGACATATCTGCCTTTAAAGGAAAAATGAGATTTTGATTCATAAGTCCTGCTGTAATTCCCTCTTCTGTTGTATTTTCCTTCTTAAAAGTTTGACTTCTAACCAACAAACTAAAGCATGACCTGTCCCATGGCCATGCTTCAAAGTTCCGACAGATATATTCCTCCCTCAACACTGCAACTATTTCAAAATCCTTTTTATAAAACAGGGAGTAATGTCCACAGAGGATCAAAGGGCATCCTACAGCCTGGCAATTGCCTGAGAAAAATGGCAGCATGTCCATGAAATATGCCCTAAAATAATTTTGCAGTGCAGTATGTCCTAATTTCAAATTGAATGTTTATCTTGGAAAGACCTCTATCTAACTTGTCCATAAAGCAGTCCCACTTAGCTCTATGAGCTCTGTGAAAATGGAATCCAAAGCTGGTTATTAAGGGGGCTGGAGATGGGTTCCATATGGCAGAACAGCATGGGAGGGCAAGGCTGAGGCCTGCACCAGGCGCAGCTTGGCCAAAGCTCCTGATCTATCCATGGACACTCATTGCATTACACCATAACATCTGGATTATGGCTTGTAATGTCCCTGGGAAATATCCTCTTTCCATCAAAGCCTTTATCTATCTCAGTCAGACTTTGAACATTTTAGTATTTAACTCAGCCATGTTTGATCTGATAGACTTGCTCATTCACTAGCCAAGTTTTCTTTCTTTTTTTATTTTTTAACCCCTCCCTCCTAAAGATAATTATTTATTGCAGAGTTCACAGATAGGAAAGAAAGTAAGACTTTTATTCTACTTATTTGACCTTAAAAAGCTTACAGACCCCACACTCTTCATACTTTTTTTCGGCATTCCTTCTCAAAGAGAAGAGACAGAGCAGGACAGAACCAGGCGTCCCGTGTGTGCTCTACAGTGCAGTCAGGTTAGCAAAACCTATTTTGTTCTTCAAACATCCCCTTTCTCCCCACAATAAATTGGCTCATCTGCACTCACTCAGTTAGCTGAATAGCTCGAGTTTTCATGTCTCTGTCCCTGTCTTTAAGGGGAATTTGTCATCTTAATGCAGCCTGGAATACGATAGGAGAGGAGGAAATGACCCATCAAAGGGGAAGCCCACCCCACCTGAGCTGAAACAAACACCAGCTGATAGAGCAAAGTTTCTGGGTCCTGACCCTAATTCCTCCACAGACAGGAGGGATAAAATATAGTGCATCAGGGTTGTGCTATTTCCCTCCTTCCTCCCCAAGGATCAGAACCTTTTAGTATTTCGATGTGATCCATTCATCTCTCTATGTCTGGGCCCCCACTCCATGTGATCCACATTCATTCTTCTTAGGGAGAAAAAGAAATGATGCCCTTTGAAAGTGCATACATCAATTATGAATAGGAAAATGAAAACAAGGTGTGATACTCAGCTTATTAGCCATGCCGAATTGCATGCAAATGGAGCAAGCCTCCAAAGATCTCTTCACTTCCTAAGTCATGGTAACCCACATGCAGAGCTCAGAAGCAAAGAAGAGAGTCTGTACACTAAGGAACTTCGGCTCACTTCAGGTAAGCTCCAAGAGTCACTTCAGAATCTCAAAAGGTTCTCATCCAAGAATAGAGTCTCAGAGTGAATGTGTTTGTTCAGAGTTTAAGCAGTGGATAGCAGTCTGGTGGCATTCCCTGATGAGTGAAAGATAGGCCATGGAGTTAGGAGCTAGGAGAACAGTCAGTGGCCATCAACAGCAAGGCTACATTCAACTGTTCCCTGCAAGTTTCAGAGTGGAATGTGCTGATGGATAACAGAGAATGAAAGAGGAAAAACAAAAAGGGAAGGGAAAGGAAGGAGAGATAAAAGAAGCCAAGGAGCTGCGGAGATGGTCCAGTGGTTAAGAGCACTTGCTTCATAAGCATGGGGATATGAGTTCCAATCCCCCAGCACAGCACCCACGTAAAAAGACCAGCAGGGCCATGAGTAACCCAAATGATAGCAGCATAGACAGTGGAGACAGCAGAATGACTGGAGCTAAATGACAGCCAATTTGGGTCAAAAGATTAGCCCCAAGCTGAATAAGACACCCTGTCTCAATGGAATAGGGAAAGAGAAATAAAGCATGACAGCCAAAAGTTTCCACAGACTTAAACACAGGTACACACTGCCCACTCACACACATATGATTATAAGACTCATGAATATAAATCTGTACACAGTGAATCAATCAATAAATAATAGAGTAACAAGACAAAGCACTGGTTAAGTATAGTTTTTTATTAATTTTTAAATTTTTCAGTGATGGTAGTGTAAGAATCATGCATTGCTAATACATCCTGGTTTTGACCTATCTAGTACAATCCTAAAGTCCCTGTGACAACACAGGCAGCCAACAGAAGCAAATACATGGGGAAAAAAAGTACAAAAACAAACACCAACCACCACTGTAAGAAAAATGACTAGCAAATCAGAGCTCCAACTCTGGTGCCTGCTTCTTTGCAATGCTGAGAGAAAGCACTCAGTCTATAAAAGGCTTCACTGAAATATTCCTTTCAAGTGTTTTCAACATGTAAAACTACTGCTTCCTGTCAACAGCTTTACTGCACTAAAGCACAAATCCATGCATGCAGGGAGCCAGCTTCTAGAACAGACCAGACCCTCCTCTGAAGCTGCTTACATCATCTGAAGAGGGTCCTAGGTCCTCATAAAAGGACACAAAGAAAACTCTCCACATTTCTCACACATGCACACACATGGAAGGAGAGATCTGTATTTGTAGATGTCCTTGTATCCAAAGTTCCAAGGATATAAACACTGTGTGTATAAATTATATACTGTATTCATTTCATAGTATTTGTTATAAATATTATCACTCATGTTTTCTACTGGAAAATAAATACTAAATTAAGAAAAGATGTAATAAATAGACAAGGACTATAAGTGTCCAACAACTCTAAATTTAGGACAAGGAATATATGTTTTCTATCATTAACAGGGTAAAAGATCACATGATCCATAAGGTTATTTCTTTGCCCCAACCTCTAGGGAACTCAAACATTGTACAGCACTATTTATAATCTAGTATTTTATTTTTATGTCTACCGTCTTAGGCTTTTAGTATGTTCTGGTTTTCTACTTCTTGTCTTAGTTTAAAATACAGCAAACGCTCCCATATTCTTGACCTAAAATGAAGTATGTAGCCCTGGTAGGTGTCCAAGGGACTCTCTGGTGTAGGAGCTATGCTAGTCTGGGTGGGCTGCACTGCCACCTGAGGCCATGGTGACATCTGAGCCCATACTGCTGCATGAGGCCATTCTGGATCCATGATCCTACCACAGTCGGGTCTGTAATGTCTGTTACCGATGGTGCCACCAAAATCCAGATAAACAGGGTCTAGGCTGTACCCTATGGCCATTTTGTGTCCAAGGACTATGCTGCCATGGGCCATGGTGTCATCTGAGCCAGGCTACTGCCAAGGGTCATGTCTGGGTTAGTGGCCTACAGCAGTCAAGGTCTGTGTTTATGTCTATGGTTCCTGATATCATAGACCTGAATGACTACCTGTGGCCATATTGATGTCCAAAGGCTTCACTACTATGGGGACCATGGCAATCTAGTGGATTATACAGCCAACATGGGGTTGGACCCATACTGGTGCTGTGGATCATGTTTGGGTCCATGGCCCAACAGCAGCCAATGTCTAGGCTGATGTCCAAGGTACACGTTGTACAGGAGGTCATAGGAACTATGAATGTTGAAATCCAAGAGCTGGCCATACTAATCCAGCCTTGACTCTCACTGGCCCTGGGATAGCTGGCCCTGCACCTCACTGGTCACTGTAGCAAAAGAGTTGGTACTCCCTCCACCATGGGAGAGTTGACCCCAGTACTTAGGAGGGAATACCTGTCCTTGCAGCAGGGATTTCCTTGACTATGCCCAGGCTCAAATACCAATAAGGCATGGCTAATTCACATAGAGAAATGTGTATGGTGAGACGTGTTGAACCAGACAGTCGATGGCAAGATACCCATTTGGGTAGAAATGGTAGGAAGTTCCTTCTATACACTAACTATGAGCAGACAAAGCAAAAAATTAAACTCAATCATCTTCCTGAATGAGATTTGGTCACAGAACAACTCATTAATGACAGACAATAGACAGACAGACAGACAAGGAGCCCCTTCAAATTCTTCCACTCTCCTCCCTCAGTCTAAGTTCCTATACATCACACAAGCTTGGTGCCAATTTCTCTCCAGTACCAATCCAGCTGGAGCACAGATGATTCGGGGACCGAGAAAGTGTATCCTGCAGAGCTTAGTCTCCATAATAACAGACAGAAACTGCAATAAAGGGGTATAAATCCAAATGGGTGAAAAGCTGGCACTACCAGTCACATAATTTCATAACAGACAATAAAAACATTACACTAGTGTAGGTCCTCTCTTATCTTAGCCAACATATTAATGTCTGAGTCAGAAGGTCAAAAGAAGAAGCCCTGGGTGGGTGGGTACCTCCTGACTAAAATGCATGAAAGGCACAGGAACCCATAGCTAAGGAAACATGTGTTCAGACAGCTTCACAAATCAAATGAGGAGAGCCCTCCACCTCGTGTGTGTGTGTCTGTGTGTGTGTGTGTGTGTGTGTTTGTTGTGTTTGCATGTTGTGTGAACAAATGTGTGTGCTTGGAAGGGAGAATAGGAGGGAAGGAAGAGGGACAGTGGGAAGGGAGGGCAGGAGGGAAGGAAGGAGAATAATAGAGCTACAAGGTATCTAGGTACTGTCACAGATATGTGACCTCCACTTCTAGTCACCTTTCTGTCCCTCCTTGCATTAAGCTGTTGGTGTAGCTGCTGTGATTATTCTTGTGTAGAGCTGTAGCAGGCATCACAATGGACTAAAATGAGTCTTGGAGCAACCCTGGCCACACTGGGTACTGCACAGCAACAGTGTAAAAAGATGTAGATGCCAGTCCAAGATCTATTACATCAAACCCAAAATTCTCCATTAAATGCTCATTTTTAAAAAACTTCCTGGGAGGAAGCTAAGCCTGTCTTAAATGCCATCCTCAAGTATCTACCTCTTTGAAATCTAGGGCAAAGTATCGAAGACACACTTCTTATTTGGGAACATTTGAGGTAACATGAAAATATAAGAGTTATAGAGAAAAAGAAGCAACTGATTAAATAAAGGCATTCTATGAATCACTTTGAGGTTAAAAACCCCTGTTATGCCATAGGTAGCGCAGAAGTATAATTTTCTATATTTATAGCTAAGTAATCTTTATATCAGACACTTCCTAACATTAAAAATAATAAGAACATCTTAAAATAGAAGTTTGTACAAGTGGAGAAATGGTTCAGCAGTTAAGAGCATTGGCTGTTCTTCTAGAGCAGCGGTTCTCAACCTTCCTAATGCTCTGACCCTTTAATACAGTTCCTCACATTGTGGTGACCTGCAACCATAAAATTATTTCATTACTGCTTCATAAATGTAATTTTGCTAATATTGTGAATTGTAATATTAATATCTGATATGCAGGGTATCTGATATGTGACCCCTGTTAAAGTCATTTGACCCCCAAAGGGGTTACACCCTGACCGACAGATTAGGAACCACTGTTCTAGAGGATCCAAGTTCAATATCCAGCTTCTACATGGCAGCTCACAACCATCTGTAACTCCAGTTTCAGGGGATCCAACTCCCTCCCCTAGTCTCCTTAAGCACCAGCCACGTGGTGCACAGATAGACACACAGCAAACATTCATACACATAAAATAACAAAATACTATTTTTAAATGAAAGAAATTCATGGTTTCGAAATATCAAAAGGTAGATGATCAGAGAGTTATCCATGTTTATACTGTGTTAATGGCAGTAGGTGTATAATTCCCCTATGACTCTTTCTTGTAAGTCAAATTATGAGCCATCTCACTTTCCTCCTGAAACTGCATACCTTCCAATGCAAAGGAAGCAGCATCACCATTAAGTGTTCACCAATGTATAATCTTCATGTCTCACATATGAGAATCTCTAGTGCTCATCAAGCTTTAATTGTCTGGAATTTTACTAAATGTATGTACTGGCTTTGGGCATTTATTACATTCCTTAGCCCAGCACACTGAAGTGAAAATTCCAGAAAGAGAAAAAAAGAGCGAGCAATGGCTCAGCCTCAACACATAACTCTGTAGTGTCTATATATAAATACTGCTCTCTGGATCCTCTGTCCCCTTCATAATTTTGATATCTTTATCCAAGCCGTCGACATTTTTCCTACCCCTCTTCTTTCCTTTGGCCATTGTTCCATAACCTCTCCTGTCCTCCCTAGACTCCAATACTCCCCAGGCTCACAATTTCTGTTTCTCGCCTTTATGTTCCCCCACAAACTGCCAGTGCTCTTCCACAGACTGAGGCTCCCTAACTAAAGATGGTTATTGATGTACAGTACCAGTGTTTTAGTGCAGCAGCCGAATCAATAAAGGAGAAAATACTGCTTTGTCAGGTTTCACCAAGGCATTCTGGGAAACTTTACTGCTTTGGGTGGTTACAGCAACTCTTAATACAAAAAGGGAGAGCTGGACTCCCTTCTGTGGTGAGAAATGATGTTCTCCTACCCTCTAGTGACTATAAAGGAATAAAGCAAAGCTGGAGAATGTTTGAGCTTGCAACACACTATTATTAATCATGGCCTCATCTGTTTCTGAACATGGATTCCAGTGCAAGGACCAACTGAGATGGGAGGATGGCCAGAGGCCCTTTCATAATTCTGTTGACATGCTTAAAATGCAGACACACTGTAGTCTATATGGATACACTACAGTCAGTGTGTGCAAACACTATATTCAGTGTGGATACACTGTAGTCAGTATGGATACACTTTAGTCAGTGTGCAAATACACTGTAGTCAGCATGGATACACTTTAGGCAGTGTGTGGATACTATAGTCAGTATGGACATACTCTAATCAGTGTGTGGCCTCAGAACACTGACTCCTATGAATTTCTGAATGCCAGACAGTCTAACCCCCTTGCCCCCATATCTCTCTCTCTCTCTCTCTCTCTCTCTCTCTCTCTCTCTCTCTCTCTCTCTCTCTCTCTCTCTCTCTCTGAAATATTGAGGATTCCTTGTTCTTGATGCAAACTCAACATTGTACAGGGAAGTAGTCAACTGAGGTACAGTTAAAATTTAGGAGTGTGTGTGTGTGTGTATACTTGTGCCTATACAAGTGATTGTCTGCACAACCTCTTTCTATCATAGGTATGGATCAGCCCCCAAATTCAGAAATTAAATTAGACAAAGAGCCTAAAGTACCATATCATGTAACTAGAATTCTGCATCTCTTGATAAAACTGCTAACTTGAGTTAAAAATACAATTTCCACATTTACACCTAATTTATAATTTTGTAATTTATTTCCTTAATAAATTATTAAATTCTGAATGCTTCCGTTGATATGCCCACTTGTATAAATTTTAAACTGCTTCAGCTTACTGATGATGTACAACCCACCAGTACTCCCCATAAAGATAAAATATTATTATTATACACTGAGAAATAATTTTGTTGAAGGAGACGTGGGGGAGACTGATAATGACTATCACATATTCTTCTAGTCTTCATGTCACCCTAAGACTCACATTAGCTTCTCATGGCAAATTACCTCCTGAAGGAACAGCATCTAACCACACCACATTCTAAGTGTTCCAAACTTAGTAAAGTATATAATTCTAACATGCCTGCTACATATAAAATGTCACCACTCAAGCAAGTGCAAGTTCCAACATCTGGCCATGCCCTCACTTAATGAAACTCTAAAGAAAGGGCCTTTCCTTTTGATTCATTGAAACAATAAGAGGTACAGAATGCCAAGACAAATCAAGTCAGAATAATACTAATTTTACATATGTATGGATATACATTAAAAATGTATTTGTGGAAAATACACAGTTTTATTCAGATGATAAGAACAAGTAAATTTACCTTGCTGGCACTTAACCGCTTCCGATTTGACCAACGCTTCATTGTACAGTGAAGATATTAAAAATGAAACAGAGAAACATTGGATCATTTATAATATAATTAAACTATTTTATACTACATAAAATGCAGATTTTACTCAGATTTATCAACTCCCAGATCTGAAAGTTATCCTCTGCTATCACTTACACCTCCCCACATAAAGCTCAGATAAACAAGAAGATAGAAAGAAAGGCAAAACATGCCTAGGTTGCTGTACACATCATTTACTCTGAATTCACAGCAGATCGGCACTGGCAGACACATGTCATTCTATCTCAATTAACATTTTTAAATTAAATAAAATAATACCATTTCATTTTCAAATAAGAGAACTGGGTTTCTCCTACGTGCAATGTTTAGACAGCATTATAAAAATGTTTATAAATTCTTAACTAATATTACTTCATGTTAGGTCATCTATAGTTTTTGTTCACAGAAAACAAAATTTTGTTTACTTTCATAGGTTAAAACTTGACAGTCAAAATAACAGATAAGAATGCATAACTTATGCTATATCAAAATTTACTATTTTGTAAGCTAATTTTAAAACCACTAAAAATTTTAGGATCATCGTTGTGTAATTAAATATATAGTTGATCTAGCAAATGTGTGAAGAAAGAAAAAAGTTTTGAGGCCAACACATTTCACCCCATTATTTTCTGATCCCTTTTTTGTCACACAAACAGTGCTCAATTTCATCTAGAGCTGAAATTTTCTTTCAGGAAAATCCATATCCAGTACGGCAATGCCCTGCTCTGGCTGGCTCACTAGTTAACTGCTTGTTAAAACGTGCTTACATTCAGGATGCTATAATTAAATTATGAACTCTAATCAAGCAGACCACATTTACTGCAATACTCAAGGGGGAAAAAATGTAGGTAAATGACTTTTCTACTTTGCTACTATTTCTCCTCAGTCAATAAGGAAGTAGAAAAAGAATAATGGTCAAGAGAAGTCCACTCACTTTCCACTGGCTAGCCCTTAGGACAGGACAGAAAGAATTTTAGGTTCTCATTAATATTTGTCTTGTGGGAAATGGGGAGGTCGTCATTATGCACCTGACATTGTTACAGGTGCCACAAGTAAGGTTTAAAATAAAATGGTCAGGCATTTTCTCAATAAAAATACCAAGTGCTTCCACTTAATCCAATCACAGAAATTAATGTAACCTTATAGCTTATAGTGTCATAAAGCTATTGAGTCCCTTTTTGTATAAAGACTTGTTTTTTTGTTTTGTTTTGTTTTTGTTTTTGTTTCTGTTTTTGTCTTTCTCTGTAGCCATCATAAAAGATAAACCAGATTAGGATACTTACTTCACTGTAATGCTGCAAGCTACCATATACTAAATATTTCTATCATGCCTGGCACTGTAGTTGATCATGCCAATTTCTATGATTTTATAAAACAGGTATCCCCATTCTTATCTCACACATGAGGGAAACTCCTAGAAAGGTTAACTAACCCTGTAGATTTTACTGAGTCAAATCTAAGCAGTCTAGGAGTCAAACACAGACAGTTTGATGAGAAGTGCACAATTTTAATATATGATATCACTCTTCTCCAAGACAAAGAAAGTACAATTCACTCAGTTCAATCAGGGCAATGCACCATACTTAGATGTACAGCACAGAGATTAGCTGCATATCTTAAGTTGTTTTTATTTATTTATATATTTATTTATTTGTTGTCACGTTGGTTCTAAAGCAACAAAATTTGCCTCACTGATAGCAAGAAGAATGGGTGCAAATCTGAGAATCCAAAGTGGAATTCCTCCACAGTTTACATAATATATAAACCAAACATTCTAATTATATAAATCTACTGTCCTCTAGGTCCGTGGACTTGTTATTTCTACTTAAAACCCCCAAATAAACATGCCTTTTAATATCCACTTAAGCTTAATAAAAAGAACAAATGTTTTCTTCTCTCCAGTGTGCTCAAAGGGACCCTGACAGTTCTATAAGTAAAAGGCTATATATAATAGCTATCTATGGCTTACAAGTTATTCCTCTGTTACTGACCCTTTGGTTCCAATTAGACCAAGTAAGTAAATAGAAGAGGGAAATTACAAAGCAAAGTAAGTGAGATAGGCAGGCTTCCATGTGATATCGCCTTCCCATTATATAAAATAAATCACAAACTTGGCTTCTGCTGGGCAATGCATAAGGAGAACACACAAGGAAGCAGGGATGATGGCAATCTCAACAGAGGAGGTAGTGGGTGGTACTTAAGTACTAAAAGGGGCCAGGCCAAGTTAGATGAAGGCAGTGCATACTCTCAATACTTTGAAAAAAGACACACTTTGAGTTATATCACAAATGCAATTCCAAGCTGCTTCTTACATTATTTGTTCTGTAGTTTGAGATAGATATAAATTGAAAGCAGAGACCCACTACTTTAAATTTCTAAATGCAGCGATCCTGAAATGCCATTGAAGTGCAGTCTGATTATTGAGCAAAACTCAAAAGGTGCAGCTGTTTTCATGGAAAACATCAACTTTACAAAAGTCACCAAATAAAATATTAGATCACATTGGCCGTCAATTGTTTCATCCATCATGAGCACCTGGTTCAGATACTTATTTATATTGCAATGTTAATTTAACCTAGCACCTACCTCAAGTCACCCACCACCTCCTATACACTTAAACAGAGCATCTGAGGGCATAGATTGGGAAGCAACAACAGAACAAAAATGATGGCAAAGAAAAGGCCTGAGTGGAGAGAATTAGAGAAGACAATGCTTGTCTTCATCATAGTAACACTTTCCTTGAGGTCCCAAGTTTGAATGAACACTGTTACCTTAAGTGTAAGTAGATTCTTAGCCTGTTATTCTTTAAGTAAATTAACCTAAAAAAATTCAAATGTGACAAAGCAGCAAATGTTTACTTGACACTCTGACAACTGAAAAATTCAGTTTTTGCTATTCCTATACCTACTACTAGCTAGCTTCTAGATATTTACTAGTAAATTAGTTTTGGTCTTCATTATGAAATTAATTACAACAGAAAGATAAAGCTATAGTTAAAATGAAGAATATTTGCCTCAATTTAGGAAATAATATTAGAAGCCTAATTTCTAAAAATGCTTCATATTGGATTCTATGCAGGTTCAAATGTAACATGTCTATTCTTCCTTCAGTAACTGCTTTAGTTTGCTTTTTAAAAAATATCTTTCAGCAAATTGTAATCAAACACATTGTGTGCTCTTATTTTAATTATTGGAATTAGGATGTGCAATCCATGAATATGAAAATGAGATTATGATTTCCATCAGCATGTTTACTTGTAAGAGCAGACTTTCTATCTTATCTTAACAAAATCAAATGCTTCACTGATGGTGCAGACATCGCCACTCTATAGTGTATTAATGAGAAATTTCCATGTGATGGAATAGGGAACATTAACATTTGCATTTTTCACAAAAGCACACCCAATGGAAAAGGTAGCAGCTAAAAGCAACAGTCAGTGAAGAAGGCAAAGGACTGAGCATATTGCAAGAGGCAGTCGTCACTTCATAATTCATGACATAAACATTCAATCCTGAGAACTCTCTGCATAATGGAATGTATGAATGTTACCCAGAATCAATGGAAACCTTGATGCTTAAGGAAATTCTATTTCAAATGGCTTATCCAGTCAAAACAGTCTGTGCACTTAATAGAGATCCTAACCATACCTTTGTCAGCCAGGCAACTTCTTATACCTCCATCGTCTGCCCAGTGTTTCATGAGAAAGAATGTAGATAAATGCATACTGATACTTGATGCAGTTGTTTGACTTCTCCCCTTAATATTTAGTTGACAGTTATCCTGTCTGCTGGCCAGTCATCAAAGAACCACCACAATGGAGAGGTTAAGTAAAAAGGCTCCCACTTACATGCCTCTTGAAATCACCCTGTTTTACAACTAGGTTCAGATTTAGCACAATCACTCCCATGTCATCTTCTAAACTGTTTGGATCTTCCAATTTTAATATATGTTCAGTAGTCCTGCAAGCAAAAACACAACACGTGATTTTAACACTAATTGGCAATATTACAGGCTTGACAATACATCCGATGCTTAAGGAAAAAGCCTACCATCTAAAATTAGATGGTATGGGGTAGGGGAATATAGAACCATATTTAATAAAAATACATTTTCTGGGGGGAAACCCCTCTAACATTGTCAATTTCAACATTGGTTAACTGATTTCCCTGCTATACCACCTACCAAAATAAACTGTAGAAACATGTTTTAAATTAAATTACGAACCTCAGTATTTTAAAACCCAAAATAAGTACCATTTAATATAAAGATGGATTTCCTCTAAAATTCACTGATAATGATTCAAAGGTAAAAGTAGGATACCTGTTAAGTTCAAGATCCCTGAGAATGACAAAGGCAGAACCCATGAAGTCAGATGTGGTTAAGTCTCGATCGTACACCTAGAAAAAGGGGAGGGTATTAGCATCCAGGACCACCCAAACCAGCTGGCTTTAACAAATGACTAATGTATAGAACAGGCTGGGGCCTTTCAAATCCAACTTTTTCTCCTTACAATAATTTGCACAGTGAAGTTGAATAAAAATAAAGTCAAGCTTATACCGAGAAATATCTCACCTAGTTTGCTAGCCATGCTTGAAACAGTAGGAAAAAAAAAAAACTTTTATTTTAAGGCAATAGTCAAATACAATCAAATATTACACACAGTGGACCCTCCCTATAGTTTAATTGGCCTCTCATTAAAAACTTAACATTTTCCATGGTGAGCAGATCTGCCAATTAAATGGAAATTTGCTAACTATTGTACAGCTATCCCATTCTGCACTCAACATGTACAGTTTAAACCCAGATGTTGGGGTAATTGATTCTTACACCTGGTAGCTTGGAGCTCTATTAAGTATAAAGTTCTTTCTAATGAGAACAGTGTCTACATTTGTCACCACTGCAGGGCCAGTAATAATTCTTCCACACCGAGTGAGTTTAAATAGAGCCAATAAGGACATTATTTACACAGAGCATGGTGACTTTGTAGCATATGTATCTCCCTGATTTGAGGGAAACACAGTTTCATAAAGAGCCTTAAACAATTCCTCCCACAGTATTAATATTTTAACCTAGCCTTGGGGAAAAAATGGAGAGATTAATTGAAGCAAGTTCACATTTAAGGAGAACTACAGAAGAATAAATATTGTGAAGGAGGTAGCTAACTTAAAAGCTGTCGGGATTATTACCTTCACACGAAGCTTTTGGTCAAGGCTGTGTATCGGCAACACAACTATCTCATCCCAAATCGGGTTCAAGTTCTTATATATGACTTTACTTTTGTACAGCGTCTTCCCGTTGAGCTTAAATTTCACATACGGATCACTTGTGCCTTTAAAGGAGAAAGAGAACATGACAGAATTTCAAACACATACACACACAAATCTAATATTTCTACCAAGTCAAGATTCTTCCCACAGTCCCTAGGCCTGCAGCTAGCCAGGGAACACAGGGAGATCTGTGTCTGTCTGTGGAGGGATGCAAAGCCCTAGAGGTATCATGGGGAGGGAGAAATGCTATAACTTAAGGGCAAATGATTAATTCCATTTTGTCTTCTTGTGGTTGAATATGAATGGGCTCCTTGAGCTTTTTGTGTGGTTTCATTGTGGATATGTCACCCTTCAATAACCCACATAATTAAAAAAAAAAAAAATTCAAGTCAGTGTCAGGAATCCCAGGGAGAAGCTTGCCCCTCCTAGGGTCAGCATAAAGTCCATGAAAAGGGAAAACAGCCATTTCCAAATATTTAGCAGATGGCCAATTCAATCAAATCTTATACCTTAAAATATAATCATGACAAATAAGTCAGCCTCTGCAATCACTCATTCAAAAGATGATGTGAGGGACTCAGCCTGGAACCAGGGGCGTAGAGATTAAGTCAACAGAGTGGCCATTCTTTGCGGCCTCTTCGCACCTGCACCAAAGCTGCACACATTGTCCCCACCCAGGACCAGCACATGAGCCAGGCCCTCGGCTGGCCTCAGAGCTGACACAGCTGACCTCCTGGGGTGCTTTGAAATGGATGCCAAAGGGAATGAATAATATCCCTCAAGTTGCAATCTCCCCAACACACACACACACACACACACACACACACACACACACACACACACACACACACACAAACTCACGATAGATCTTTCCACATTTCTTAGATCAATTGAAAAGAAAAAAGCCTACACACATAATGCATGAATTATGCATTGTGCCTATAGGTTACATGAGCATGTATATCATCTAACATGCCAAGGACACACTTGCTCATCCATGTCAGCTGAGTACAGAAAGAGGAGCAAATGAAGAATTAGCAGAAAGATAAGGGAAGCCCTGCTTAAGATAAAACTTGTGACTTGCCGAGTTACAGCATTGTGGTCCATCCTGAAACTCAGCCCTATGTGGATATATGCAAGGAGCCCCTATTGTCTAAATTGGGGCCTCAGATAGGTTGCACAAATATTCAATGAAATGAATTTCTGACATGAAATTCAAGCCAACACCATCTACAAACATTCTATCAAAAAATTAATTCCACTAACTTTGCTGCAAACACACTAAGAACTAACATTCTTTATAGTTTGTCACATAGGCCCCTTCTTATGTTTCCATGTGGCCCCAATAGTTAAAACCACAGAAAGTAAATGCAATACATTCCTGAACTATCTGAGTGGAAGGTGCCATCACTATTGAACAAAGCAGCATACATTATTCAATGTTAATAGCCTTATGAAAGCAGGAATTTTCTGAGCTAACATCCCAACAATACAAGGGCACTCACTGACTTTAAACAAAGAAATCAGAGTGAGCCACAAATATCAGATGTGTCCAATTCTACCATCTTAAGTTTGGCAGCTCAGGAACGGAAGCCCAGCCTTCATTTGAAACACATACCCACACTGAGCAGGTTTCCAGGGCTAGTAAAAAAAAATAAATGCATTCACAGGCACTCGGTGGAATTCTCACTGGTGAGTGAGCATCTGCCCACCCCCATTCAGCAGCTTGAGAGAACACCTCTGGCTGGTCAGGCTTTAACAATCATGGTGATATATATATATAAAAAAGCGGGAGAAACTATAATAAAAAGAGGCCTTTAATTAAATGAAATTGCCACTCTGGGATCAGGGCCTTCATGCTTGTCAGCGTACTCTCAAAATAAACATCTCAAAACTCGGCCTCAGTGGTGTCACTTTCTCACAGGCAAGGCATACTGGGTAATCCCCAAGCATCTTGACAGCTACATAATGTTCAAACTGTTTCACGGGTGAATGGCGGCAGTTGCGTGAAAGAAAATATTAATGTCTGGAATTAATAGAAAAAAGGACCAGGGTTTACAAAGCCAAATAAGGAAAGAGGGTGTCAAGTTAGTCTGGTGTTAATTGTTCGAGAAAACTTGTGAGGCGGGAGTAGTTCATGGTGGTTTTCTCTCTTGGAGCCTAAGTGCCTGACTGTCAGGGAAGTGGCATCTCAACCAGGCAGGTTCTGAAAAGGGGCCAGCAGCTCTGGAATGCGACTCCCAGATTATACAAATGGTGAGCTGACACCTGAATGGGTGGACTTTAACCTTCCTCACTGGGAGCCTGGGATACAAAGAAGCTCTTGTGATATTCGGTGCTTGCAGTGGAGAAGGAATCAGGGGACCGAGAGACCAGGCAGTGTCCAGGCAGAGCCCCAAACTCTGACACTTGGAGCCAGGGCCAGTCAGCTCCCACACTACACAGAACCTCTACATGCACAGACTCAACCAACCATGGGCTCAACGTATTTTTAAATATATAAAATGTGTCCTCACTAAGGGAGTACAGACCCCTGTCCTGGTCATTATCCCACACATAACACAACAATTTACTTACATGGTATTAACATTATGTGGTTCAAAAGATAGGGGAATGCCCATATGTTATATATGATTTTTATGATCATTTACATATAATACCAGATATATATATATATATATATATATATATATATATGTTTATATACTATATTCTATACTACATTCTATATAAAGGATTTACACAATCATGGGTCTTGCAATCACCAGAGGCAGATCCCCATTCAGATCCCAAGGGATGGATGCATCTGCAGTCCTAATCCTTGCAGCACAGAAGCCCACTAACCTACAGATGGTTACTCTCCCTTGACCTGCACCTGTCGATCATGCTACCAGGCCACAAACACTCCTTTCTGGTCTTTTCCAAGTCTTTCTTTGTGCTAGATACCCTGGCTGTTGCCAAGACACAAGACCCTGCTCTTCTGCACCAAACAGTATGTGAACCCCACGACACAGCACAGGGTCCCAGATGGTAATATTCAAAAGCAGTGAGCTCAATACCGTGTGCAGTTCTGCTCAGTAGTTGGTAGGAAAGATAGTTCATAGCTCACATGTCAGTGAGGGCTTAAATCAAGAAGACAGGAGTTCAAATCAACATGGGACCAAACAAGAAAAAAGACTGGGGTCAAAGGAACATGAAGGGAGACTCAAAAAATAACTGGTGTTATAATACCAAACAAACATTTCAGTGAACCCAGAAATTAATGAAGAAAAAAAAAAAGCAAAGAAAGAAAGAGATTACAACAACAGGCTGTTTTGAGTCAGAGACCAATGTGCCTTAAACATACACAATAAAGGGGTAGTTATTATTCTGCAAGAAATGTGGGTGTTTTATTTCCTGTTCCCAGACTTTTTAATTTTGCTTAAGTAATATATGCCCACAAACTTTGAAACACATGAAATGAAACAAAGTCTGTACCCTCTGAGTGGCCCCGAACCCATTTGTCTGGTTTAGTACCCATAAGTAGTTTCTTGGGTGTTTTACAGAGAAGATATGTGCAGGAATCATTTTTAAATGACTGCATTTTCTCAAGTAGTATGCCATAGTGCTGGGGTCACACCAGCAATATGCACCCACTGGTGTCTTTCCAACTGAACACATCTTCGCTGTGTTGTATTAGTGTGGGCAACTGGTTAATATTTTCCCTGCTGTCAACAGTAGTTCAGGCAGCAGACTTATGTAGTTTCCCTGGAATGAAATGCCCTTTCTCCACAAGTTTGTAACACTCAAGTGTGACAGTGGCTTGTTTTGGTTCTAAACCAAATCTTATAAAATTGTTTTCTAAGCTTATCAAACTTAGGTGTGGGTAGGCAGGAGACCTTGCCGCTCTTTCTTGCTGTTCCTTCAGGGGACCCAGTTCGATTCTCAACATCCACTTTGGGCAGCTCAAAGGGGATGCAACAACCACTCTTGGCCCTTCAGGGTACCCACACACATGACATACAGACATATGCACACCTACCCATAAATAAATATAAAAGGAATCTTCTTCAAATGCTTATCAAACTTAGAGTATACAATGTTATTATTTCTTTCTGCATTTCCCTAACACTGAATATTTTAAACCTTTATTTTAATATGTTGGCAGGTGAGGGGGGAAAAAAAACTACTTCTGTCTCTCCCCTTATCTGTAACACGTTCAGGGACTTTCCTGCTGTTGTGACTTCTATTTGTCTTTGTCAATCAGATTCTTGTTCTTATTATGTGGTTATCTTTCAGTGGGCTTTGTTTGTCTTCTGGCTATAACTGTAAGAGATCTTTCCTATGGAAAAGGCTCACCAACTCTATGTCTTGTCAGAATTTAACAAGTTGTCACTGGCAATAAGTTATTTTCTTTTTTATTTAATCAAATTAGCCAAGGTCTGACTTTTGCCTTTGTACTTTTGCATCCTGCATAAAAGCGTTGTCTTTAACTGTAAGATTTTTTTAAGTTAATTCACCCTGTTTCTTCCCATTGATTTTTGTACATTTTCTTTTTTTTTTTTTTTTTTTTTTTTTTTTTTTTTTTACATTATAGTAGTTTCTTTCTTTCTTTTTTCTTTTTTTTTTTTTTTTTTTTTTTTTTTGGTCCATCTGGAGTTATTTTAATATGAAGAGGAAGGAAATGTAGGTTCACTCAGGCAGGAGGAGAGTAAAGTGATCAGAGCCAAGCTTTGCACATATAAATCTGACAGCAGCTTATAATTTAGATGAGGGAGAAGGGGAGAAAGCAAGGACACCTGGGAGCTGGGCTGAAAGCTACAGCAGAGGGCTGAGGGTAGAGGACAAAGCTGAGTTCAGACCCTAAGAACCTCATGCAGGAGGCTAGGGAATTGCTTGCTGCGCCTGTGAGAGGACTCAAGTTCAGATCCCCGGAACCCACGTCTGGGCAGGGTAAGCATGGCATCCTATCTAGCGTTCCTGACTTGGGGCAGAGGCAAGGCAACCCCAGAGGAAGCTAGTCATCTCTATGAGCTCTGGTTCTGATTGAAAGGCCTTACATAAGAAGAAGGAAGGAGAATGA